GGGGGGGGGGGGGGGGCAGAGCCATTTGGCAGGCTATTTGCCAAACACAGGCTTGACCTAGACGGATCTCAGTTGGACCCAGAAAGGCCCGACGCCTCACAATTTCAATGAATGTTAACTTCTGTACTAAGATGCTTTTCAAAGCAGCAGAGGAGGACAGGGAAATAGTTGGGCTGACAGGCAATCTTTTTCGGAAGAGAAGACACAGTCTCCCTCATTCCCCACCACCCCTGCCCCGCATGTTGTAATTAGGGATATTATAGCTCCATAGTTCCATTCAATTATTTTTTTCTGTGCGCTTTGGCAACGATGGAATAGCAGAGCCTATTAGCTAATTTAAAAAAGAAAGAAATTGAAAGTGTCCAAAGATTAAGACTAAGCATATTTACAGCTTGCGTTTAAACAAACATTTTTTTGGAAATAAAAATCCATTTATTTATTTTTTCGCAACTGGTTGCATAACTTAAAAAAAACAACACTCCGGCCGTACGAATAACCGACTTCATTTATAATGCAAATTGCGCTTATTGAAGGGGTGCAATTAATTAGGAAGGGGAGTCTAAGATCCTCCAACTTGGTCGTTGAGTGCAAAGAAGAACAGTAGCAAGCTGACGGGCAGGGTTGGAGCCACAGAATGCAGGGAGGAGTCTTGGGGGCAGTGTTCCCTCTAAGTTGAGTGAGTGTGAGCCAGCTCACAGTTTTTTAGCCTCTGACTCACAGATTTTTGCCTTAGCTCAGGAAGGAGGGCTCCAGAGCAAACTAATTTATTCAGGAGCCAAATCGCTCCCTCAAACACTTTAATGCCAGCGGCTCACAAAGTAGAATCCTTGCTCACAAGACTCCACAGCATAGAGGGAGCATTCCATGGGGGTCTACCCCATACTGAGGTCATGAAGCTTGGGTGGGGAGGGGACCTGGTCATCTGTAGGGTGCCCTACCTTTTCCTGCAGCAATTTTTAATCTACTTTTCAAGCCCACCATTTGGACCCCGCATTCCTCAAGGAACGCCTTCTCCCTGCCCCCCCCCATCCCCAGATCAGAAGATAAAGCCCTGCTTCATCCCCGTTCCTCTACTGAAGTTTAAGAACACAGGAACACAAGAAAAGCCAATGTTGGATCAGGCCAATGGCCCATTCAGTACCAAGGGCCATCAGGAGGTCCAGCAGTGGGGCCAGGACACTAGAAGCTCTCCCACTGTTGCCCCCCCCCAGGCACCAAGATGACAGAGCATCACTTGCCCCAGACCAAAGAGTTCCTCTCTATACCTTGTGGCTAATAGCCACTGATGGACCTCTGCTCCATAGGTTTATCTAATTCCCTCTTGAAGCTGTCCCTGCCTGTAGCCGCCGCCACCTCCTGTGGCAGTAAATTCCATGTGTTCAGCACTCTTTGGGTGAAGAAGGACTTCCTTTTATCTGTTCTAACAGATAAAAGCAGAACTTGGTTTGGAGCAGAAGTTCCTTTGGAGCAACACCTGGCCCTCAAAGGTTCCTCCCTACCCTAGGGAATTTGCTAGGCCATCACTCTGCCCTCTGTTTCTTGGCAAGGGAAGATTCCCCACCGCCATCCCAAAAAGACTTCTCATGTTTTCTGGTTTTATAAGGTTAGCCCAGAGATTGGTCTGGAAGTACCCCCATGACAATGTTCACACTCGCTGAGACGGGTGGTATGGGATACAGGCAGCTCTGGAAGAACGACAGCTCCGTAGCCATGGGGGGCATTTGGGGCACTGCCTCCCCACAGATGAGAACTGCCCCTCATGCATTTTTTTAAAATCCAGAATTATTTTTTTTTAAAATAAAAAATTATATTATTAAATCGATACTCACCCTGCTGATGGAAAACAACAGTCCTGGCCGATCAGAGCAGACCCCGGTGAAGCAGAAGCGCAGCTTCCAGTAGAACAGGTGCTCCCACACAAACGTGATCAGGCTGAGCGCCATGGCGGCAGCAAGCATGTAGAAGACGCCCGCCATGTTGTCAATGTCCAGCTGGCTGCTCATGACCTCGTTCTTCTCGTTGTGGCAAATGCCCGTGAGCCACAGGGTCTCCAGCTCCTCCATCTCTCCTAGGAATGGAAACAGGCCCGTGAATGAGGCCCATATATTCAACCAGAGTTGATATTGAGTCTTATAGTTGTGGCAAAATGGAAGTCACAAACAGCCCCTTCTATAGACAACTGGGTAACGGAAATTTGGGACCTATTCATTATGGAAAAGATTACAGATAACATAAAACAAGCAAACCCGTTAATTCATAATTCATATCTCCTAATGAAATGGGAACCCTTCGCAGAGTATGTGACCGCATCTGACACCCAACCACATAACCCGACCAGAGTTCCCTCTAAGCTGAGTTAGTGTGAGCTAGCTCACAGTTTTTTAGCCTCCAGCTCACACGTTTTTGTCTTAGCGCAGGAAGGGATGGCTATAGAGCAAACTAATTTAGACAGTAGCCAAATCACCTGCTCACAACTTGTAATGCTGGTAGCTCACAAAGTAGAATATTTGCTCACAGGACTCCACAGCTTAGAGGGAGCATTGCACCCAACATACCTTAGCTTAATATACACTTAGACAACACTAGAGATGTAAAATTTCCGGAAATTTTGAAGCTCGGGAAAAAACGGAAATTTTCGGAAAAATTGAAAAAAATGCTACATTAGCACTTCTTTTGTCTTTTCTAGATTGAAAGTCATTCTGTTACTTTAGGAACATAAAATATGACTATGGACATTTTTACTTGGCATGAAATTATCACAACTAGCATATTAAAAAATTAGTGTATCCAAACAATTATTACAAACAGAATACCCACCCACATGCAAAAACAAAACTGAAACTTTTTTATTTTCTTCTGACAATCGCACCTCCTAAAGGAAGAAATGCATCTTGTTCTTGCATTGGAGAGTTCAGTTTGTAACCTAGGACTTGCTTGTCCTCAGTGCACAGAAATTAGATCAATCTGATACCATATATATATATATATATATATATATTAGAAATGATTTGGAAAATATTTGAACACCTTGTCTTAAAATATTTATTCATCATGTTAAAATAAAACGTTCCATAATCATTTTTTTTCCCTTTTCTTTTTTCAATTTTTCCAATTTTTCGGGAAAAAACAAAAAAGGCTTCAGGAAAAAAACGGGGGAAAAACGGTTTTTTCCCGAATTTTTTCGGTTTTTTCCCGGGCCTTCACATCTCTAGACAACACCCACCCACTGCGTAGCACCAAAAGCAAGATGTTTGTACATTTGATCTATTAGAAAAGTGGTAATTCCTTGTTTCTGTATTTTGCAGATATTATTCTATGCTGAGGTTGTTGTTGTTTTTTTGTTGTATATGGGTTTGCAAGGGTTACATGCCAATAAAGGTAACCTGACTACTATTAGAAAAGTACAACAATAGACAGGAGTATTCAAGTATTTTTAACTTAATTACTCACAAATTAATAGGCAATGTTGATTAAGAGCAAAGTGTTCATTATTGTTAATGTTGTTACTATTATTATCATATCATAGCTACTTGTGCAATAAGATGACATCTAATCTAATTGCTCCAGCTCCTGCCAACCTAGCAGTTCGAAAGCAAGAAATTGCAAGTAGATAAATAGGTACCACTTCGGTGGGAAGGTAACAGCATTCCGTGCGCCTTGGTGTTTAGTCATGCCGGCCACACGACCATGGAAATGTCTTCGGACAGCGCCGGCTCTTCGGCTTTGAAACTGAGATGAGCACCGCAACCCTAGAGTTGGATTCGACTGGCTTTCGAGCAAGGGAGACCTTTACCTTTACCTTTACCTAATCTAATTGTATTTTACATTGTTTTATCTAAATCTTTGTATATTCTTGAATTATCAATAAAAATTATTAAAACTGAAGAAAAACAAAAGAATGAGGCAACAAGGGCCGGAATGGAGAAACCAAGACAACCCCAGTGGTAAAGCGTGCAACTACCCCACCCCACCCTACCCCACGCACGCACAAACACACATTGTGCACGGCATGACGAGACTTGTGGAAAACTATACTCCAGAAGGTGTCCTTTTAAAAAATTGATTACATTTATATATAACTACAACATGGGGTCGCGAAGAGTCGGACTCGACTGTGCGACTGAACAACAACAACAACATTTTTAACATTGCTTAAATTTAGGCCGCATCGATAACAAAAATCTACCAGAAGAAGCAGTATACATTCATATCTTAAATTGCCAGGTGAAGTACTACCTATATGAATGAATGAGAACACAAGTAAACAATAGAGACAATCACATGTCATTGGTTCAATCATAATATTGCCGTTTTTGCTGCCACTAAGAGATACAAAATGAATTCTTCTCGGATTTGGGGGGATTTTCTTGTCTTGCCAGCCATCTAGGAGAGCTAATTCTGGTTCTAAAAGGTGTCCTTGTACGGTTGTGCAAAGAAATAACAGAATGTTTGTTCTCTAGATCTTGATACAGCGAATGGCGTATTGCTGCCATTATTCAAGATGGCGCCAAGAGCTTCAGCTGGGGGACCTATTGCATTGGCAGTGGAAAGTGCCATCAAGTCGCAGCTGACTTATGGCCACGCCGTAAGGTTTTTAAGGCAAGAGACGGACAGAGGTGGTTTGCCGTTGCCTGCCTCTGCATAGCAACCCTGGACTTCCCTGGTGGTCTCCCATCCAAGAACTAACCAGAGCTGACCCCGCTTAGCTTCCGAGGTTCTGATAAGATCAGGCTAGATTGGGCCATTTAGGTCAGGACAGAGACAGAGAGAGGTGGTCTGTCGTTGCCTGCCTCTGTATAGCAACCTTGGATTTCCTTGGTGGTCTCCCATCCAAGTATTAACCAGGGCCGACCCTGCTTAGCTTCCAAGATCAGACAAGATCGGGCTAGCCTGGGCCATCCAGGTCAAGGCAAGAGACGAACGGAGGTGGTTTGCTCTTGCCTGCCTCTGCGTTGTAACCCTTGGCTTCCTTTTTTTTTTTTTGGTAAACAAATTTTTTATTTTCTCAGGAATACAACATATAAAACATTTCATTCTATCAATTGTCTACCCCATTCCCAGTTCCTCCCCTCCCTCCAATGGCTTCCCACAATGCTTCCACCCCTGCTCCAAATTACTTCATATCATCAACAATATCAGTTTTTCATCATTACAATCTAAAGATAACATCGTTTGACTTAATATTGATCTAAACATATTAAGTTTTGTTTCACATCCCAGTTCTTTTCCAAATAAATTTTAAAGTCATTCCATTCTCCAAAAAACTCATCGTCTTCTTTGTTATTAATTTTTGTTGTAATCTTATCCATTTGTGCCATGAACAGAACTTTTTGTATCCATTCTTCAACCTCTGGTACCTTTTCTGTCTTCCAAAACTGAGCATAAATCATTCTCGCTGTCACTATCAGGTACCAGAGTAAGGTCTTTTTAGTCGTATTGACTTCTTCCATTTTGAGTCCCAAAAGCAGAATTTCCGGTGCTTTTTTAAAAGAACATTTCAGTATTTTTTGCATTTCATTGTGGACTTTTGTCCAAAAGTCTACAGCTTTCTCACAAGTCCACCACATATGATAAAATGAGCCCTCATGCCTCTTACATTTCCAACATTTGTTTGACATATTTTGATTCATATTTGCAATCTTCTTAGGTGTCATGTACCACCTATACATCATCTTATAACAGTTTTCTTTAACATTAGTACATGTCGAGATCTTAATAGAATTTTTCCACAAATATTCCCAGGTTTCCATAGCCACTTCCTTATTCATATTAATAGCCCATTTTAACATTTGTTCTTTAACAGTTTCATCTTCAGTATACCATTTTAACAACACCTTATACATTTTAGAAATATTTTTTCCTCCTCCACTCTCCCATACCTTTTCAATTTCATTTTTTTCCTCTCTAAAACCATAGTTTTTTTTGTCAGATCTAAAAAGATCATAAATCTGCATATATTTCAACCACTCATATTCATATTCAATTTCATTCTGCTTTTTCATTACCCACTCTGTTCCCTCTTTTTTAATTAAATCTCTATATGGCAACCAGTCTCTACCTCGCTGTCTTGAGTAAGATATCAACACTTCTACTGGTACAATCCACAATGGTCTTAAGTCACTCTGGTACTTCTTATATCTTGTCCATACCATATACAAAGCTTTTCTCACCAAGTGAAGTTTAAAAAAACTGTCCATTTTTATCTTGTCATACCATAAATATGCATGCCAGCCAAATCTACAATCATGCCCTTCCAACCCCAACAATCTGTCATTTTCAAGCTTCACCCATTGATCCATCCATGTTAGACAAACCGCTTCATAATATAGTCTAAGATTTGGCATTTGTAGACCTCCTCTTTCTTTGGCATCACAAAGTATTTTCATTTTGATCCTTGGTTTCTTGCCTGCCCAAACAAATTTTGACAACTCTTGTTGCCACTTGGCCAACAAATCCGTTTTATGCAGAATTGGTATTGTTTGGAACAGGAACATCAAACGTGGTAGGACATTCATTTTTATAACTGATATTCTTCCCATCAGTGATAAGTTCATTTTATCCCATTTCTTAAAATCTTGAGTCAGCTTAGTCCATAATTTCTCATAATTATTCTTATATAGGTCTATATTTTTTGCCGTTAATTCAATTCCAAGGTATTTTGTTTTTTTAACTACTTCACATTGTACCAGTTCTTGTAGTTCCACTTGTTTTTGTTTGATCATATTTTTACATATAAGTTTTGTTTTATTCTTATTCACGTAAAAACCGGCCAATTCTCCAAACTCCTTTATTTTTTGAAAAAGCAATGTCAATTTTTCTGTTGGGTTTTCCACCATAAACATTACATCGTCTGCAAATGCTCGATATTTGTATTGGTGTCCTTTATGTGTCAAGCCCTTTATTTCTTGATCGCACTGTATTTTTTGTAAAAGTATTTCCAATACCCAGATAAATAATAACGGTGATAACGGACAACCTTGCCTTGTTCCTTTCTGTACTTTGAAGTTATCTGTCAGTTCTTTATTCACATTTATTTTAGCTCTTTGTTCAGAATAGATAGCTTCAATA